TAACTCCAGTGTTTATGTAAATGGTATCAGGAGGCCACATCATCCAGTAAGGTGACCACTCAACTCCAGTATTTATGTAAATGGTATCAGTAGGCCACATCTTCCAGGAAGGAGACAGTTCAACTTCAGTTGTTCTGCAAATGTTATCAAGAAGCCACATCATCCAGCAAGGTGATAGCTCAACTCCTGGGGCAAAAGGGTTAATGTCCCAATCTGGAAACGTAGGATGCCTGGGAGGTCAGCGTATCCGGAAGGAATGCATGAGCAGGATTTCTGTAAAGAGGAGCTTCCGACAGGAGATGTATGGAAGAAAGATACCATAAGAGGTTCGTTAGGGTAAGACGTAGGCGAGAATTTTGGGCATGGGTAAGTCTAACACTTGATTCAGGAGCCGCCCCCCAAATAGGTAACAATGAACTTAACAACTGCTGATCTAAAAACGAATAGTCTACATGATGGTAAGAATGGGTGAACTGATCAGAAGTCCTTGGGGGCGTGGCATGCTGATCCCCTCACTTAATTATGAGACAAATTGATCCACATGTACCCAAATATCAGGGGAGGGAGGAAAAACTCAAAATGGTTGGGATGCTTGTTCATGTAACAAGGAAGGATGTGGTGAATAAGAGATAGGGGAAAGGGATAAAACATCACAAACCTGAGACACCAAACCTGGAAATACCGAATTAGGCTTAGGTGATTCCTAAGGCTGCAAGTGGGAAGGAACAGCAAACTCTGGAGGTGGGATAAATGTCCTCCTCATTCTGAACAAGTTCAGCCAGCTCACAAGGACCCTGAGCGATGTCTGAGTACAAAGGTTGACCCACGTAGGTCTCAAATCTCCTGATGTATAAAACTAGAGAGATCCACTGTTGGGTTGCCCGCACCTGAGGCCTGAGAAAAAAACACTGGTCACTGGTGTGACCCCAAAAGTGGTAACGTGAACTTTGGAAACAAAAGGTTCACAAAATTCGAGTGCAGAAATAGTGAGAATAATGAACTGGTATAAAATAAAATCAAAAAGGAACCATTTCACATGAAAAAAAAAAGTTTGTCACATTGAAAGCATAAGGCACACATAAGAGTATGTATTAACTCAAACATTGCCAAATGAGAAGTGGGGGTTCGGTAGAGGGGTGTAGAGGGAATCACATGCATCACGTGAGCATATCATGCTACTGTTGGTTAAGAGATGACACATGATGATTTACATGAGAGACATGTTGAAATATAGAGAGAGCGAAAGGCTTGTGGCATGCATAATGAAAAAGTTTGCATATAGAGGGTAGCACTAAACGAGAATACCTAATCTTGTGAGCGGAGCTAAGTACTGTATCGGAATTAAACATATCTTTACAAATCGATATCATCCTCAGTCTAATATTACTGAACGAACATATAGAAACACAGGTAGAATTAAATCTGCTTACATTGAGAAAAATCATTGAGCTTAAGACAATGACCTGCATTTTCTCTTGGAATTAAAACTTCTATTCATGGGTCCACAGTTTACATTCCAGCCAAACTCCATCTGGGATAAGAAAGCTTTCCTCTTTGGGACCAGCTGACAAATTATCCAACAGCACCACAAACAGTGGATGAGCAAACATCAGAATTGCAAGATGTCATACAGAAAGCAAGATCCAATGTTGAATAGGCTCAGAAGTGACAGCAACAAGCATACAACTGTAAGAGATGCCCAGATACATATAAAGTAGGTGACTTAGTATTATTAAGGACACATCCATTATCTTCTGAGGTAAATAATTTTACTGCAAAATTTGCTCCAAGGTGGAATGGACCATTCAAAGTTACTAAGTGTGTTACTCCATTAGTGTATGAATTAATAAATCCAAGATCAGGTGGAACTATAGGATAATTTCATGTTTATACTCTAAAGATTTATATATATTTCCATAATTAAACTTCTCTGGCCATAGGAGAAGATAGTGATTATCCTAAGCAGTTGTGGCAAAATGGGAATGTCAACTACAAACAACTTGGAGGTCACCTGCCCCCACAAGACAAAGGACTTTTGCTGATGTGTCCATTTCTCATCCTTCAAAATAGTCTATTAACAATTTACCTGTCTCCCACTCAACCTACTCAAAGGGCATTACAGCCATGTCATAGAGTTGATTATTGCAGCTAAGCTGGTCAATGAACTCTTAATACACTTCCAGTAACCCAAACCAGAGCAAGAAGCTAGAAAAGGTAAAGCTGAAGAGTCAAGAACATGAATTGTTTTTCCTTGTAAGTTATCTTTACTTAAACTGTAAAAGATTCATGATGTCCGTTTCATAATACATACATACTTACTCAAAATCAACTTCATCAACTAGAAAGTGAGTCAGAGCTTTGAAGTAACTAAAAATTCATAGCTACACTAAACAATAACAAAATAAAATATAATTTGCTATCTCACAAGGGTACAAATGTAAATTTTGGCAGGGTAGGAGTCATATTCAGCTAAGACAGTTTTACTTTTCTAAAGGGTGGTTGGCCTTTGGAATGGATTGCCTTTATATATGATGGATGCAGCAAATTGAAGGGATTTTAAATGAAGGCTTGATAAATATTTAAATGATAAGAGCTAGATTTGAATGGTTTTCTTTAAAGTTTAGTTTTGTGGATGTGACAGCCTAGATGTACCATAAAGCCCCTTGTTGTCCTTAAATGTTATAAATAGGAAAAAAAATAAAATCTTAACAGAAAGTAGGGATTGCTGGTTATTGTTAGAATTGCTATAAGAAGATCCAAAACAAAATAAATATTGCAATAAAAATTACACTAACAAGTAAAGTGATACTATTTGGATAAATTTTAAAATGATTTTCAATACCCTACTTTGGTTGGCATTGTGATCTGTATAGCTAAATGAAGCAGTTTAAATAACTTTACTTGTTTGTGTACTTCTTATTGCAGCATTTATTTTATTTTGGATTCTTCTTATAGCAGTTCTAAGAATAACCAATGATTCGTACTTTCCATTAAAAATTTTTTTTCCTATTTATTTGTTCAGTTTTTATATGTCCATGGAATGAACACAACATCTATAAACTTTCCATATAGCCATATCCCTGATAGCTATAACTTTTACAAGAATTAAAACCACAACCACAAATTTATAAAATGTAATCCTTACAGATAAGTGTATAAAGCTGCCAAAGTAAGGATTAAGTTTTAAAAATTCATGATAGTGGTTTTAATTCTTGTTTCATTGCTTTTTGTTTATTTACTTTTTATTTTATGCCTGTATAAAGTATGTACTTTAATGCTAGAAACTGTCGCATGTCCATTCATCGCTATATGGAGCACAATCTGTTAGGTTGAAAAGATATTTAAGTACATGCATGATATGTTTACTAATTATAAAAAATCTGTATATATTTATCAGAATATCCAAAGTGGATATCCACAGACCAGTCAAGTAAGCTGGAGAAATCTTGTAGCAATAGTCTAGGCACTAGCTTCACTGATGTGATCAGGTAGGTAAGTAGTAAACGAAAAAGTTGCTGTTTTAGGAATTTATGAATTGTTATACCAGAAATGCTAGCAATCTTTTCAGTATATTATTTGTATATATATGTGCATAATATATTGTAATCAATACTCTGAATGGTTGGTTTTTCTCTTAGGAATTCAATGAGGTGGTTTTTTGGCATGTGAATTATTTGTAAACCTTGTTGATCCATCCCTACTGTTAAGTACTACTGTAATTAATAATTTTTGTTATATGTTATATAACTCACTAGTTATTCAATCAATGTAACTGCAGACACTGACATGGGTAACATTTTAGATTAATATTTTATTTTCTATGTTATTGAAGATAAATTCATGAAAAAGACCAAATCAATATCACTTAAAAGATGAAACCACAGACAATGACTTTCAAGCCTAGTAAGAAATACTTAGATAAAACAATTAACCACTGAAAAAAGGTAAACCAAAAAAACTGTATCCCAACTGTGGTTACTGTTTTGAATGTTTGTAACTATCAAAACAAGAAAATGTTAGTACAGTTAATTGAAAGAGCTACCAGACAAATTAAGATACGAAGCAAAGAAGAAAGGAAATATCACACAGACTAAGATAATGAGCAGAAAGGAAGAGAAGTAAAAGAAATGTTGTCCTAACACATTTATAACCAATACAAATTTTTATCTATATTCCTCTTACATATGATAAACTTTATATATTGAAAGCCATTGTGAAAGAAATATATTGTAATCGAATTAATATCTTTTGGGCTCCTTACCTTAGAAAACATATTGAATTGTTGCAAATGGTTCAGAGGAGGGCTACTACGATGATATCTGGGATGAAAAGTTTGTCATAAGAGGATAGATTAAGATCTCTGATCTTGTTTTCTTTTGACAAAAGAAGAGTTAGAGGGGAATAGACCAAGATATTTAAGATTGTTAAAGGGTTTGATATTGTTTATGCATCATCTTTTTTTTGTTATATTTAATAGTGAGAATGGTAAGACTAAAGGACATAAGTATACATTTTGGCTGGATAGGAGTCATCTGCAGGAAATATATCTATATTTTTCTAACAGGATGGTTGTACTTTGGAAGGTGTTGCCTTCAGATGTTGTAGACACTATTAATTTAAAAGTTTAAAGGAAAGATTTATAAGGACTTATATTGAGTTTTTTAGTGTTTAGTTTAATTTAGTGCATAGGACAGCCTAGATGGACCAAAAGGTCCCTTACTGTCCTTTGTTGTTATGTTTTGTTATAAAAATAATTAAATTTCAATGTCTGAAGAAACAAATAACTCAATATCTTAAGAAAATGTACCAATGATACTCCTCTACATATGCATTACACTTACATAATGATCAGTGAATAAAAATAACTCATGTAGCCTGATACAATAGCAACGAGGAACTATGAGAAACTTAAAGCATCTCAAATTACAAGCTTCTAATCGTACAAGTACAGAAAAGTTGTATTTGGTTCTTAATTATGTTGATCACAAATTTCTAAATACCTTATGCTTGGACAGCTGCTCTTCTGAAGAAACTGGGGGAATACTGACAACTTGGATAGTTCCAGTCTTCTGTTTTTGTGTGCGTGCTATATCAAATAAACTTCGTCTTCTCCCTCTTCCCTGTGCTTCTTCCATTCATTCTAAAACAATAAAAGTCCAGCAATTATCAACTACAGTAGTTAGAATCCTAACACTATTCAATTAAACATTTACTGTTAAGAATATACCTGTCTTGAACAAAAAGCCAATTGTTTTTAAAGATTTCCCAATTCTGTTCCACATTACCTTTCAACTCATTATCCTAATTCACTAACGATGAATTTTGTCTCGTGGAATCAACTTTCTGAACATTAGGAACTAAAATTTCGTTTTTTGTCACATTATAAAGTAAAACTTCAAACCTAATCATTTAATGATCACTCTTCTTCAAATCTTCAACTCTTGTAACCACATCCTCATTAGTGGTTAACAATAAATATGAAATGTCATCTTGTCAAGTTGTATCTCTGGCCAGTTAGTATAGACATCCATCCTAAATCACTTCAAGAACTTTTTATCTCTCACTACTTGACTCCATAAAATCTCAATTAATGTGTCTAAAACAAAATGTTAAAAAAATATTGTATCCTATGATGTAAAGACCATGAGGTGATTAAGTATGAACATTAAGAATTACCAATAGTACATTCCTTTTCCTCCACCACTGGGGTGTATATGAAGAACCAAAATATGTTTATAACAGCCAAAAAATGAGCATGCATAATTTCACATATTTAACAATAATGAGCAGAAAACATTTACCAGACATCAAATGTTTTGAAAATGAAGTAAATCTGGGTAAACTAACAAGTTATAGTACTGATATTAAACATGCATTATGATACAAAGCAAACTGTATCATCGAAGAAAATAATCTTGTGCTTCATTGAATTAACGAATAAAGTTAATAGCATAGAAACAACGTGAAAAACCAACCAATAGTTCATTTGAAGCTAATATAGTAATATTGTATGAAGTAGATTTTGTCCCTAATCTTCCCGTTTTACATTATATATTATTTCAAGGTTAGGAAAAATACTTATGTAAAAATTTATACTTATAGAGTAAAATAATATTTAATTCATATGTACCACTAATAAGCCTATTCAAAATTGTAATCTTAACAATCCTAATGACAGAAGCCTTTGTTTACTTAATACTGAATAAATTTTACTACTATTACAAAGACCAAGTAGAAATAGGACTAATCAATCTAATGGCAATGCTAAGATCAGTAAGACTTATAATTAACCTTCCACTTACTATATTATGTTATTTATAAAGGCGTAAATATTTTTGGTGTAATTTATATGAAGTACTTTTTATTGGCTAAATGTTAAGTAAATGATGAATTCCAGTTCAATTTCAAACAAACAGCGTTGGATATATGGATTTCGTAAATAGTATTTAAGGTTAAGCCTAGTGTTTATGACTCTCGTTGCTACGACTACCAGGCACTATTTAGCTGCCACCTATTACTTTTATTATTGTGTGGGGAGCATAGTGAAAAAAAAAGTATTACTTCAAAAGGTGATGAAAAGTTAGTGCAGGTATTATGTACATCAGCGCCTTTTGTCAGTGTGATGTTAATGAAATAGAAAAAAAAACATTCCGAATATTTCTTCTTGAACTATGGAGATTGATCATGACTTGTGTGAATATTAAAATTCAATTAATAATTAAAATCAACGTCTTATATTTACACTTTTTAAAAACTTTATTAAAGTCGTCAACGGCTTCCACTATAAAAGCACCTCTACATGTACATTGTTTCGACGTCCTCTGTGTTTTTAAAATTGTGTAAATATAAAACGTCGATTTTAATAATTTTTCAATTTTAAATAATACACAAGTGCTGATTGCTCATACTTATTTGTGTGAATATTTCTTCTACATAATCATGGGAGTATAGAAACCAATTTTCTGTTGAGGCAAGTTTATATTTTCTTGTAAACGATATTGCTTAAATCATTGTTTTAGATGCTAAGATTGTCACAGTTCTGGCGAACGAAGTGATACTTATACTTTGAGCGTATCCTATCTAAAAGGACTTTCTGAAATTTAAAACAAACTCTTTATCAGTTTTGGTTCAATAAAAATGACTTACAACAAGACTTCTTAACTAAGACTTCTGGAATTAAGAACATAAATAACCTTATAGGGGTCAACTGAAAAATTATAAAAATACAATAGTACATTCTAATTTTTTTGTGAGAAAGTATCTTAAACGATTCAAATTCTATTTTTTCACTTCTTAGGATTTTAAGGTCGGGCGTAACATTCTTTTTAGTGTGTTGGAATGCAGATCGAGAGTCACGGGTTCGAGATTACATGCTCTGCACTTTCATCTTTGGGCTAGTTAAATTCAATCCCGTTATTTGGTTCAAAGATTCAAACAAAGCTCTTGTAGCGATGAGTGCTGTTGACTGCCTTCCCTCTAATCAGTAGTACAAAATTAAAGGCCACTACTGCTGAATAATAAAGGTAATTATCACTGCCATGTTTACGACATAATTATATTTATGAATTCTTCTATAAAAAGATGTTACAAAATCGAGTTTGAAAAATTAAGTTTTTGTCAACAAGTATACCAAGTCGAAAACATAATTAGTTAAATGTCGATTTTTTTCTCAAACCTGTTTTCTTCTCATCAATGTACACGTACAAGAAAACGTATTTTTAAAAATATCATATAATTTTGCAAAGTAATTTATTAATTCCACGTATAAAATTAAATAAATGTGCATATATATTGATTCTATTCAACAAAAAATACACCTGTTTCAGTTTCATACAACTTCCACTACAACTAATGTAACTGCTGCACGAGTAGCGTGTGCTATTTTTTAGTCTCACACTGTAAGTTCAACTGACGTGGGTTGTAAAAATATGGCGTTTGTTCTCTTCGTAGCTTTAATCACACTGCATCATATGGAAATGAACAATAAAAAGTATGTTTTCGGAGAAGTACTTTTGATTTATATTTCAAAAAAAATCCACAAAAATTACAGTTTCAACGAAAAAATTAAAAGTGTGTAACTATTTGAAGATTAGGCAACATTAATGTTATAAAGTTATCCTTATATATTATTCTATAGACATAAAAAATTGCAACAAATATCTTGCTTATAAATTACAGTTCAACCTTGTAAAAAGTCTAGTCATGTTCTTTGTTCAGGTTTATCAATGAAGGGTGAATTTTCTTAAAACCGATCCAATTATACAATTGATCAATGAATAGAATTGGCCTTATTATTCCTTTTTTTTATCTAAATAACAATTTTATCTATATTTGCTACTCATGTTCCAAGTAGCGCTATTTCATTGAGATTCCTCAAAATAACTGTATCATGACTGTGTTGACTCCTGTTTTTTAAAAAATAAAATAAAACTTTCCTATCATTAACAAAATCTATTTCTGTGCATTCTAAAACCGTCGAAATATTGTAATAAAGATAACTATGGATTTTATTTCCACTGAAGTCCTTTTTTTATTTTCCTTTTAAAAATCGAAAATAAAACCAATGAACTTACCATACATCATCTGTTGTCATATTTAGCTACTAACGATAATTATAAGTATGGTGTTTTGAGTTGTCTTTTACTCATCACAATGAACCTATGTTTATATTGTTACGTCTCCGTTCGTTAGTTAATTTTCCATAAATTCGTTCCGACGAAACTTTAGCGACACAAGTCCTTTCTTAAATAAAACTGGTTTATTCTTTCCGAATACAACTTTACGATACACTTAATTTCAACAGTCGCTATGTAACAAACGCTATAATTATCAACGAACTTCTCACGTGCTTAACAATATTCTCTCTGACTGCAGTTCAATTACTCATTACCTCCTTGTTCCGTCACGTTGTGACCATCTTATATATACCAGACTATCCCCAATCTAGTAGTCTCCCGATAATTCACGAAGGTTCGAGAAGGACGTGGCGTGATACTAGTCACGTGACCTCGCTGACGCAACAATATAGAATCTGAAGTATATGTAGCATTGATGCTATTATATAATATTATTCTAAACCATTCAACAGATATCTCTTCCAGATGGTGATTGAACATGGATACATTGCTTCCCCTGTGAAAAATCTAATTCCGTATATTTACCCTAGCTGAAGACCCCCCCCCCTTATAACTCATTTACTTTCATCACTGCTTAAATACATTTTGAACACTTGACGAACATCATTTCATACCATTCAATTTCCTTTTCGAAATCCTTATCGGTACTGTAGAATAAACACTTACTTATTCATTATCTTAGCCACTGTGGGCCATAGAAAGGGCGTAACCCACTGCTGGCCCGCCAGTCATATAGGCTAGAATGAAATGACTGAAAAAAAACTGAAAACAAAACGACACAAATATCGTGGAAAGTATTGGAAATAAGAACAGAAACGTGTTACCCAAATAGTTGATATTCAAAACCAAAAAAGTGGGGGGGGGGGAGGTCTTTTATCTTATGTAGTGCGTTTTTGAGAGCACAGTTGTCATTTAATAGAGATTTAATGATTCACACTCTCAAAATATAAATACTACTTTCATTTATATATTTCACTCTTCATCAATAATTCTGGACAAGGGCAAAGAGTAAATAAGGCCTACTTGAAATTCAGGAAAATGGTTTTCCCAGTCTCATTCTGTAGGGTTACAATTAACTATTACTAGGACGATCTATGTAATCATCAGTTTAAAAAATTAATCATACAATATGAGTTCTTACAAATTTATTCACTTTTAATTAATTATATACTTTTCAGTTCACAAACCACATTTAAAACTCGTGTTTAAGCTAAGGTGTATTATCACCAACCTTCCCTGTGATAGAGGCTATGTTGAATTGATAGTGCAATTTACAATTTCAGAAAATTTACAATGTTACAGTAAGATAAACATGAGATATGATAATGCCATTTGCTGGTAGCTTGAATAATCCTGATTATATTTTCAAGGTCCTCTATAGTACCAACAATAACAAAGCTTTTCCCATTATATTCAGTTATTTTTATCGCCTATTTTTTAAGATATAAAGCCTAAAATTTAGTAAATAGTGGGCTACAGAAGATTTTAAAACCATAATAAAACTTTAAAAGTTACACTGATGTTACTTTGTGTTAGGCTTACCAATAAATTATATTTGTTTAAAAATCTTCCAATGAAAGAAAATAAATAAAACATAATATAATACAGTGTATTAAATATCTAAACAACAGAACTTTTTGCATATTGGGGGTATAGCTCAGTGGTAGAGCATTCGACTGCAGATCGAGAGGTCCCCGGTTCAATCCCGGGTGCCCCCTGGAATAATTTTTCGATTTTACTCTTCATTAATTTCAATTAAATATGATTTCAAACATATTTTGTATAGCCAATACTTCGTTATCAAAGTATTTTTGTTAATTTTAAACCATGAACATAAATCCTGTTTAAAAGAAAAACATACTGCCATTCTTCTACAAATAATATGTATTTTTAAAACTCATATTCATGAAAAAATAATTGCTTCAGTACAAATTTTTATCAGTGATAAGTACAACATTTAGATAATTCTAAGTGCTTGAAAACACAGAACAATAATTATGTTTTTTCTATGGATCCATAGCCTTTACAATATAAATGAAGGGTATATTTGTAAACGAGATCATAAATACGAATATTCATCACGTTTATAAGGAAGTGTAAAGTTGGAACAAACAAAGGCGTAATATTGCTGTAAATAGTTTCCATTGCCTTTTTTAAATATTATTTTCCATGAAATTA